CAGATCCAAAGCTTCCTATGCTACTTTGCCATTGTATGAACATACCAGAATGTGTTCATTCCTTCCCTTGTTGACAGGCATTTGGGCTGTTTCCACGTTTTGGCCACTATAAATAAGGCTGCTGAGAACATAATACACAACTCATTACATATGTGTATCAAATTCTTTGTGTAACTTAAGATGGAGATAATTAATTTCTATCATTTCTTCTTTTGTGGTATGATGTTTTTCCCTTAACTTAAAAAATTGTGGTAAAATGCACATTTAAAAAAGGAAGAAAATTCTGACATACGGTGTAACGTGGATGAACCTTGAGGACATTATGCTAAGTGTAATAAGCCAGTCGCAAAAAGACAAGCGCTGTATGTTTTCACTTACATGAGGTATTTAAAGTTGGCAAAATAATAAAAACAAAGCATTAATGGTAGTTGCCAGGGGCTGGGGGATCGGGAAATTGGGGATTATTGTCTAATGGATACAGAGTTTGAGTTTTACAGGATGAAAAGGGTTACAGAGACGGGTGGGCGTCGTAGCTGGACAACGTTGGGAGTGTATTTATTACTTCTGAACTACACGTTTAAAAAGGCTAAGATGGTAGAATATTATGTGTATTTTACCCCAATAAAACAAATTGGAAAGAAAGCATACAGAATGATAACATTTATGCGAAGTTTAAAACACCCACATACAAACAGTATTACATATAGTTTGCATTTGCACAGGAATGCAATCAAGGCAGAAAGGAGCACAGGAAAATCAGAAGTGCTCAGTTCTAGGTGAGGATGCTTCTGGAGCTTGGGAGACCGTGGCCCTGATCTTTATACCAGGGACTCGCGTTGTATTGGAAATGTTTAATAAGCTGAGCTTCCAGTACATCATGTGTTTCTTTGTATTGTTCTCGGTATGTTTCAGTTATTTTCTAGCAGCAATTCAGAATCTCACACAACTCCAGGCTGTACATTTCCCTAGGATCCTACTATGGGCTGGGCTGCATTCTCCTCAAATTCATACGTTGAAACCCTAACTAACCCCCATTACTTCAGAAAGTGACTGTATTTGAAGATAGGATCTTTAAAGAGGTAATAGGTTAAAATGAGGTCATTAGCGTGATCCCTAATCCAATTTAATTGTGTCCTTCTAAAAACAGGAGATTAGGCAGATGGTGCACAGAGGGAGCATCGTGTGAAGACACAGGGAGAAGACGGTCATCTACAGGCAGAGGAGAGAGGATTCAGAAGAAACCAACCCTGCCGGCACCTTGATCTTGGACTTCTAGCTTCCAAACTGTGAGAAAACATAGTTCTCTTGTTTAAGCAAAAAATGAAAAAGTGTCTTCTTCATCTTTTGGGTGCGTTTCTACATGTATCTGTTACTCTCCTTATATACTATAGTGGTCAGATCTACATTGCACACGCTCATTTCTTTTTCTGCTTGTTCTATTAATTAAGAGAAAGATACTGAAAAGCTTACTGCTCTCTTGCTGCACCTGCACTTTGTAAATATATATGTCATAGGAAGTATGTGGTCTTTGTCCCTGTTCCTGGCACAGCGCTCCTAAACTCTCGAAATCTTCTGATTGATAGGGGTATCTTTTGTTACCTTGTGTTTATGCTCATAAGGAAACTTAGGGTGGGGACCCTAGGTAGCCTCTGAATGGGGCTGATCTTTAGAAAGACCAGAGGACTGGAGGATTGAAGCTGGCAGCCCTGTCCACTGCCTCTGGGGCGGGTGAGTGAGAGACGGAGATTAAGTACCACACAAACTCTTGAACAGGGAGGTGAGGGGAGCTTCCAGATTGGGGAGCACATCGAGATGCTGGGAGGGCTGAGCATGGAGACTCCATGCTGCCCCATCCTCCATACTGCGCTCTGTGAAACTCTTCCATTTGGCTGTTCCAGAGAAGTGTCTTTTATAATAAACTAGTAATAGTGCAGCAGTCACATGTTAACGGTAGACAATATTTGGAAGGAGA